GAATTTGGGAAAGCCAAGGAAGTGCTAGGCCTAGAATTTGGGAAAGCCAAGGAAGTGCTAGGCCTAGAATCCAAGGAAGGCCTAAAATTTGGGAAAGCCAAGGAAGTGCTAGGCCTAGAATTTGCTAGGAATTTGGGAAAGCCAAGGAAGTGCTAGGCTAGAATTTGGGAAGCCAAGGAAGTGCTAGAGAATTGGAAAGGCAAGGAAGTGCTAAATTTGGGAAAGCCAAGGAAGTGCTAGCCTAGAATTTGGAAAGGCAAAAAGGCCTAGAATTTGGGAATGCTAGCCTAGAATTTGGAAAAGGCAAGGAAGTGCTAGGCCTAGAATTTGGAAAGGCAAGGAAGTGCTAGGCCTAGAATTTGGGAAAGGTAGCCCTAGAATTTGGGAAAGGCAAGGAAGTGCTAGGCCTAGAATTTGGGAAAGGCAAGGAAGTGCTAGGCCTAGAATTTGGGAAAGGCAAGCAAGTGCTAGGCCTAGAATTTGGGAAACTAGATTTTGGGAAAGGCAAGGAATATCTAACCAGGTAGCTTTATTTTCACTCATCCAGCGGAACCCAAAGTATTCTCATGGCTGTTAATATTAGGGAACTCTTCGTTGCCATAACCAAAAGAGAGGTATTTTTGTTTTAAATAAACAAAAATCAAGAGGGGTATTTTTGTTTTAAATAAACAAAAATCAAAAGGGGTATTTTTGTTTTAAATAAACAAAAATCAAGAGGAGTATTTTTGTTTTACTTTTGGTGATAACAATATCAAGTGGATTATACATATAATTACATAGGCCTGTCTAGTCATATCTGACATTTCAAAGAACACTCATTCGATAAACATGATGACGTCATTAGCTCCGCCCCTTTATTTGACCCAGTCCATCCGTGCGATATTTCATAGTGTTTCTTCAGTCCATATTCTATGAAAATGGTTCAGTAAAACCAATGGTAGAAAAATAAATGAAAAAAAACAAGGGAAAAAATAAATAAAAAAATATCTAATATTTGCAATGAATATGGCAAAAGGGGCGGGGCTTAGCTCTGACGTTGCCAACTAGGATTTTCATCATTACAGAGTGGAGCTACCTGGTACTTACTACCTTGGGCAAAGCAAGGTGTCACTGTACAGGAAATAGTGACACTACATCTTCACCATACTCTATTAAGTTCTCTTGGCTCTTGGATATATGATGGCGGTGATGTAGATGATATATATAGAATGAATAATGAAAAAAATTAACACGTTTTGTTGATAATATACGAATGAGTCATAACGGTGATGGTGGTGATTATGAATATTATGAATATTATCAATGTTATCATTTTGTCATCGTCATTATCGTTAGCCAAAGGTGCGGTGCAAGCAGCGTGTGCATATAGCTTTACAGAAAATATGAAAATATGATGATAGTAACAAGAATTATCACATTAATGATAGTGATATTATGATTAACGCTGGTAATAATAATAATAAAAAATATTGAGGATGATTATAATGAAAATAAGGATAATGATAACAATAATGAGGAAATTATCACTATCATCATAATCGTCAAAAATATAATAATTATCATACTACTAATTTTACCAATAATCGTAATAATAACAATAATAACAATGTAAACAATAGTAGTGATACTAGCAGTAGTAGTAGTAGTAGTAGTAACAAAATAATAATAACAATTATGATAATGATAAAAATAATAAAATTTACAATTCGAAAAACAGAATTATTTAAATAAGTAAAAATAAGGTAATTGTTACCGAGAGAGACGCACCCTCCAGAGGCTAAGGCCAAAACCAGGGCACCTTGCGAACCCAAAAACCATAACCTAACCTTTCCTACCTTCTATTGATTCCCTTGACAGTACCCACTTTATGAGCACTTCGAGCCAACTTAAAGGAAACGGACATTGAGAAATCTGGCTGATGTGTAGCGAATATTTTCGTCATTTCGCGGTAAAGACGAGGTGGTGGCGGCCATTTGTATCTGCCTTTGTCTGTGCGTCTCTCGCGGTAACTTATTCCAGTAACAATAACGATGATAAAACTAATACTAATAACAATGTTGATAATATTGATAGTAAGAGTAAAAATTATAATGATAATATCTACAATAGTAATAATAATGGTGATGATAATAATATCTATAAAATAATAATAATAATAATAATAATAATAATAAAGATATTAATAGCAGCAATAATGATAATAATAATAATAATAATAATAATAATAATAATAATAATAATAATAATAATAATAATAATAATGCAATAATAACAATAACAATATTAACAACAATAACGGCAATAATGATAACACCAATGATAACAATCATAATCTCAGAAATAACAATAACAATAATAATTAAATTCAACCGTTTTCTTCGGCAAATGATCACCATTTTCATTATTTGAGAAAATTCCTAGGCGATAATGTCACTATTATTAAGTGTCAAGAGATAAATAAAATGAACATAAATGAACAAGTACAGGTTAAACGTAAATA